TAGTGTTATTATTTATTCGGAACCCGAAAAGTATAACTTATACATATATGACAATTTTGAATGCTTGAAAAAGTTGTAGTCAAATGGAAGTAAAAAATGTATGTATAAAAAAAATTTTAAAATGCCAGTGTCAAATGCGTTCAAATTATGCGATGGCCTGATAATAGTGCGTAATTTAAAACCTCTTTTGTGAATGTTTTTGCTGTATGTGCTGCTTTAATAAGCGGTTAATGATTTTTGTTTACGATGGAGAGATACTCGTAATTACTGTTTTGAAAAATAAAAGTAGTGCTGAAAGGTGAGTAAGCGTTTCACTATTGTTCGAATTTCAACTGAATTAATTAAAAAAAAAATCGAATTTTTTCCAAATTACCTGTGGAATGTTTTCGGTACAGTGAAAAGGATGTCCGTCAAAGCTACAGAGGTCGGTCATTGCGAATTTTAGTTTCCATTTAAATAACACAGGGAAACTATTTTTTAAATTTTGAATTTTTATAACTCGTTTTTAGGTTAACATAAAGATATGAACTGGGATATGTGAAATGTAAACACAAATTGAAAAAATGGAGCGACTATCTTTCTTAGTAAATTTAACTGCTTTCATAAGCATCAGTTCATCCTTTGCAAAGCCCACAAATCCGCATTTGTGCTCCTGAGTTAAGCAAACGTTCAATATGCTTGTTTTCGAACGATTTTTTTTTTTTTTTGTGAAGTATCACATGCAAATAGTACATTATCACAGTTGAGAATTCTTGGGGAAAAGATTAACAATATTTGCCAGTTTAGACAATGTAATTAACAAAAAATCAAATTAGCTAAAGATAAAGTAAATATTACAAAATGACTGTGAAAAGAAAGAGGTTTATAGTCGAAAATATGTTTGTGAAAGGTTGCCACCTATTTGAAAATTTAAATTTGATTTAACTGTTGTGAGTCAATTATCAAATTGATAAAATAAATGAAATATTACAATTGGGATATGATACCAAAGATGTATAAGGAAGTTTACAAATATTTTTGTAGCGGGTTGCCACCTATTTGAAAAATTGTATTCACTTAAAGTAATAACATAAGGTAAATACTGAATTAATATACCTTTGAAGAAAGTGCACAATATGTAGGATCGATTTATGAGAGTATAAACTAAATTTGCATGATTAAATACCTTCGAAAATAAATTAACTAACACCCCTATTCATTAAAAATAAAGTCAACTTTATAAATCGAAAATTTCATATCTATTTTGTTTTTTATGAATAAAGCCATACGAGTTTTCAGGCACAGTGAAGCACGGCGTGTATTTGCTAGTATCTAGAGTCCGACTGATTGTTCGGCTTCACCTTCGGCCTCATGTTAGGCTTCGGCAAAAAAACTACCGAAGTTTTTGTCGAAGCCGAACCTTTCTGCCATCTAAATTTTTTTGAACATTTAAGGTTCTTTTGCCGAAGCCGAACATTAAGCCGAATATGAAAATTTTGCCGATTAACCGGCAAACCGAACACGAAGCCGAACAATCAGGTGGACTCTTAAAGGTATACATTTATTGTGAATAATCTTGTTTCAAAAAAATTTGGTATTGCAACTATTTATTAAAAGCAGCTGTCATCTGAGAACTTCGGAATTTGAAATTGTGATTAAGGAATATACAATAAAAGGGCTCTTAGCAATGCTGATATTTTTAAATATTAGAATACTAGCTCCCTGGAGTTACTTAAAGCAGTTGCTGAAAATTACCTTCCTGCTCCACCCACCAGCGGTCACAGAACAAACTCACTTTGTGTGTAGAGGTGCGTACTATGGACCGTCCGTACAACTTTTTGAATAGAAAAAAATCTCCAACAGTGGTCGCCCCTCGGCTGGCAATGGCAAAGCTCCTGATAAACTTGAACTTTTAAGCTTTACGATTCAGAAATTGTTGAATGATATTTTTTCAAAGAAACGAAACGAAATTTCAAAAAAAAAAAATAATAATAATTTGATATTTCGTCGGCTGAGTAAAAGATCGACATATCTCGGTAGCCGGTTCCAAAACGCCCTATATCAATTAAATTCAATATATCGGCAGCTGACATAGACCGTTTATGAACCACTTACGGAGATAGGGCGTTTTTCAATCAAATTCTCAGATAGAGAGAACCAAATTCTCAAGTCGGGCGTTCTTGAGCCATTTTCTAAGATAGGACGTCAAGTTGAATTTTCATTGCTTTACACTCAAATCTACTTTAATCTCTTAAAAAAAGGAGCTGATGCTCCAAACGTAGGTCACATAATCACTTTTTCCGCCATTTTACATTTTTAAGTGCAAGTGCAAGTGTAGAGCGAAAGCAAAAATAAACGCGAAAAACGCTTAACAAAAAGTGAAACAACACGAATACAAACGAGACCCGACAGATATGTAAGTCACAATAGAGCGCGGAGAGAAACAAGAATCACAAAAGAAAAACAAACTCCAACACAAAGCCAACAATTGCATATTCAAATTTATGAAAAGCTTACGGAGAAAGAAAATGGCAAACTTGCTTTCACAGCGCGCTAGAAATGTTAATACGTACAAGCAGGTAAAGCCAAAAAAAAAAGAAAAATTACGAAAGAGAAGCATAAATATTAAGAAATACNAAAAAATGCAATCGTTTTTGAAATGAGTGGCGCGAAAACAAAGGGGTAAAGTACAAAATGACCGCGAAAGTGAAGTATTCGAGTGAAAGTGATTTTTAAGCAACACTTTATTTGGAGAAGGGTAAAAAGCGAGCTACTGCTGAACGCATTTTAATTTACTATATATAAGTATACAGGGTTGCAATTAAGTTTGGTTTGTTTTATTGATTTATTAAAAGTTGGTGCACACTGGTGGTGGGAGTGGCAGAGAAAGGTATAATCTGCGTTTTAGACGGACTATGCATTTCCAATTAAGGTCAGTTGGCATAGAAGAGAAACGAGAAACGAGCTTTATTCGGCTTGGCTTGGTCGTCTTGTAAAGACCGATGAGTACGCTAGAACTCATTGATTCGCGTTTCGCAGCCGCTGTCAGTGGTACTACACCACCAACCAACGAGCTTGAGTTGACCCCCTTGCATTCTTTTTTTTTTTTTTTGTTAACCCACGTCGAAGATTGTAGATTGTACAGTGACCTTTTTTCCGTGGAACGTCCATGACTTGGGCTGATTGTGGAGGTCCTAAATGTCCTCAATGGAATGTATGCCAGCTGAATGGGATGTTCAGCGAACGACTAGTGCCACAGTTGTAGAGATGACGAAAAAAATCAAGAACGTCAACACTTCCTTTGTCACTGCCCAGGCCTGGCTAAACTGATACGACCATGGTTTTATCAATACTTTCCTTACGAACTCAAGTTTGAAGAAGATCAGAGCTCTAACAGGCTTCATAATACCATCCAAGTGGTTCCATGTATAACGCAGTCTAAGATTGGAATCAACTCGGTACTTTTATAACAATTCTGGGCAATATCTTGAAAGCTCTTTTCTGTCTTACGAAAATTTAATTGACAGATCTGCTAACGTGGCGGGCGTAGCGTTATTCTGCTTTTCTATTAGCAATAAGTTTTTTATACAGTAATTTAAATAGAAAAGAAACAAATTTGTATACATTTTTTTAACTAAAAATTAAAAAAAATATTACTTATAAAAAAAGAAAAAAAATATATATAACTTTTTACAAATTAAATGAAAAGACAAAAAGTTTTCTTTTTAAAACAATAAAACCTAAAATTAAAAATTAAAAAAAGCAACTGATTAAAAAAGAAAAAAAAAATAAAAACAACGAAATTAAAAAATATGTTCACTAAAAAAAATCAAAAAATTAATTTAAAAAGGAAAATAAATTAAAACAAGAAAAAAGCATAAAATGAGTTTCAAAATATTAAAGGAACTTAGAAAAAGATAATAGTTATCTTTTTGAAACAATAAAATATAAAAATTAAAAGCAAATTAAATTCAAAAATGCTATTTAAAAAAGAGAAACAAATTGCGCACGCCAGCGCTTTGCCCTCTTTACGATTGCGACTATTGGAGCAGCGCGCAGGCGGACATCTTCAAAGCTCTCTGTATATTTTATATGAACGCGCACAGAGCAAAAGCTCTCTCTGAGCATCACTGGTTTCGAACATGTTCAATTGTTTTCTGTCAAAAGAGCTTTTCACCATGAAAGTTGGCAAGTGTCATGATGCAATAATACAGGTGTTGTACGTTGTGACAGCGCCAACTTGTACGCCCTTAGCTCAATGTTGTATTTTGGAAGTACGTGAGAATCGGGGAATAAATGAAACCCATTTACGAAATAGTAGTAGACTTCCTACTTTTTTGTTACCTTATAGGATATATACTACAACAGAAAATGAAAGAATTTGTATGCAATGTATTGAATAATTTAATCTGTTGCACTAATTTTGACTTACCCGATTAAACTAATTCTTCAACGATTTATTAAGTGAAACGATTTTTATGTTAAAGTTAGATTTGCGTTAGGAGGATTTTTTATATTTTTAAAACTACTTTAGCAAATCATAAAGCACAATACATACTAGCCCAACCTTAAGCTAAATACATATATATTTTTTAGAAGGTTTTATTTACTTTCACCTATGTAATCTAGTACGGCTTCAATCACTTAAGGAATAAAACCTATTAGTATAAGAAATATTCATATATTCCACTTGTACTTACAACGGGAAAGTGTATTCCGTGCAGAGGCACAAAATCCAACACAGCGAAACGACGATCAGCGAACCCACGTAAACAGCGAAAACTTCAATTAGTACGGCTTCAATCAGCTAAGGAGTAAAACCTATTAGTATAAGAAATATTCATATATTCCACTTGTACTTACAACGGAAAAGTGTATTCCGTGCAGAGGCACAAAATCCAACACAGCGAAACGACGATCAGCGAACCCACGTAAACAGCGAAAACTTCAATTAGTACGGCTTCAATCAGCTAAGGAGTAAAACCTATTAGTATAAGAAATATTCATATATTCCACTTGTACTTACAACGGGAAAATGTATTCGGTGCAGAAGCACAAAATCCAACTTGAAATCAGCACTGAAAAGCAGCTCGGAAAACACGAATTGTCTGTGAAATTCACATACACACAAAACAGCAGAAAACCTGTGGAATAATTTTATTTATAGATTCTATATCAAATATGCATAAAGTACTTACGATTTGAGCAATTGCTTTCCCAAAAATTGCAATAAATGCTGCAAATTCTTAATTTCCACAAATAAGCTATCAATTCGCATAAATTTTAATATTGATTGTCAACGAATAACAATAGAGACAAAGACGAAAAAGTCGATTAGTGATGCCAATCGTTGTCGATCTATGGTTTTGCTTGTGTGAGTACCATTTTTAGTACTTTTTCAAGAAAATCACTGTAATATAAAAAGGAGTTGGTCAAAGCGGCAATTTGAATTTCCTAAGGGCGTTCAAAATGGCGATTAGAGCGAGAGGAAAGCGAACGTATAACACCTTCTTTATTGCATCATGGGCAAGTGTGGTTTTTTTGTAAGACTTTCGTGTCAGAATAAACAAACTCTTTCAAACTATCTGGCCTACTGTCTTTCAAAAGACATGATTCTTTCTTAGCCAGAATTGCTTAGTTGGTCTAAGCTGGCCTAAGTGCCAAGTGGAATAAAAAGTGCAGAATAAGACGCAATTATGCGTACCCTCCAGCACGCTTCATAATTCAACACGAAATTTTGAAACAAAAAAAAATCTTGAGAATTTTTTAAACACACATTGTTTAGTCATTTTGAGTACTGTAATTTTAAAATTTTCCGTTTTGGGCATTCAATTCAGGGTTTTCGGCATTCTCGGAATACTTTCTTTTTATTTTATTTTTTGCACTTTTCCAATAATTTTTGATGTTTTCGAAACTTTTCAGATTTTTTCAAGACTTTCGGCCCTTTTTCGTGAATTTTTGAGTTTTCGGCAATTTTTTCGAGAATTTTTTTTTAAATATTTGAGGTATTGTCAGTACCTTTTGTCATGTTTCGGTTTTTTTCGGTACTTTTTGTGACTTTTCTGAAATTATCAGGTTCAACACATATTTATATCTTAACATTGCCTTTTTAAAACGAAATATCTGGCAAATTTTGCCTTTTATTTTAACCCCAAAAAATAGTAAAACAAAATTTTTTTTAAAGTAAAGGTGAATTTTATTTTTTAATATTTTATTTTATAGCCACGACGGCTACCGTTCAAATGTACTTTTAGTATTGATATTCATAGCAGTCTCTGCAGTCTCTAAATAATAATATTTTTTTTATTTAGCAACATTTCTTGGGTTTTGGCTTTGGCACTTCACACATTTTATTAACTGCCTACTACTGCTATCTACTCCTCCAAATTGCGGTCTGCGCTTTAACGTTGTCTAACAAATGGAGGGACCTACAGTTTTACGTCGACTCCGAAGGGCACATGGTTTTCAATGAAAATAAACACAATCGGCAGTTTTCCATTGCCTGACGAACAGCAACCGCTGCAAAAAATAATTTCGGATGGTGGTTGGTCTAAGGGTTGAACCTTACCGATTAGTAGCGCGCTCCTGTAATCATACAGCCACAGTAGCCAGCACTGGGTATTTCTTCGGAAAAACATAAAAAAAATTTCGCTCAAGAACACTGCGCTCCAAAGGTTAAGCTAATAATCCAGTTCCATCTTCGCATTTACTCTCTTCGTTTCAGACCCATCTAAACAAAAAATCTCCCACAATCATCCCACCACTCAGCTAGTTTCAAACCAATATTGCCAATTTCCATCACTACACTTCAGGCTACAAAAAACCAATCACTGCTGAACTATTAATTTCCTACAAAAAAAGTACACTTCGTTAGTTATGGGATAAACTAAAATGTGGTTAAAAATCGTAATGAAAATGTAATTAAAAAATATCAAAACTAAATGCCGCAAAAACGGTGGCTAGAAAAAATATCAACACCCAGACAAAATTGAAACAATTATTGAACCAAAAAAAGAAATTAAAAAAGCAACGAAAATTACATCAATTAAAAATTCATGCACTCAGCAGTTAGTTAGAAAATTCACATAACAATTAAATACGAGTACATACATACAGAATGCTTGCGGTTAAAATGTCTATCGAAAATGCAATGCTATAAAATTAATGCATGCATATGTATGTATGCATGTATTTATGTTTATTTACATATACAAATATGCGTAGAAATTTATTTATTGTAATTATAAATACATTCAAATGAGAAAATTTCCAATTTGATTATTTGTATTTATTTATTAAAAAGCAAATATGTAGTAAAATAGAAATGCAAATGCATTTGAGAAGCTGGTGAAAAATTAGTAGCAGCAGCAGGAAAGTGCATTGACGCAAATAGTAGAGCCGAAACCGACAAAACTCTCTGCATTTAGTATTTGCACAAATATGTATGTATGTAGGTATGCATGTACGTATAGATATAATATGGCTGAATATATTTACACTTATTTGCGAGTTAGTGACCATGTTTAACAAAAACAAAACAAAAAGTTTGCATATTGCATGAAAATACGCATAACTAACTAACCGGCCTTTAAACAATGACCAATCAGTAGGCTGTCGACAATTTTTGCTGTTGGCAATTGAAAACTATGTAATACCTCACATCACCACAATTTTAAAATAATTCAGCAGATGCACATAAATTTTATTAGAGCTTCGAAAATGCATGCAAGTAATGATGAGAGAACTAAATGTGCCAGGATTAAAGGATATTCGCGCTGCAATGCATTTTGCCAATATATACGTGCTTGATTTAGGCAAATATGCGATAAATGAATTGAAGTGCCAATCTGAATAAATTTGTTGGCTGCTAGCTCACTTGGTTATGCATTAAACATATATGTATGTATGTACATTAGACTGCATCACCCCCCATACAAAAAAAAAAAAAAATAAAAAATTGGTACTGTGTTTCCACTGGAATTATAGAATCTATTACATTTTGAGACGGACTTTTTAGAGCATCTACCACATCTACCACTCAAGGTCTGAAATCTACCACATATTCGCGTTTTGAGTAGTTTTATTTTTGCTTGACATATTTTTCTTAATTTTAAGAGCAAAAATTATCCAACACTAAACGCGATAGGGTAACTAGAATGATATAATACAAGATTCTGCATTCCCGGGGACGATTAAATTTCTCAAATACAAGTAAACAAAGCCGAATGGGAGGATAAAATAAACTGTAATATAGTACATTTTTTCAATTTTTCGACAGGAAACGCGGTTTTATTGTGTTAACTTGCAAAATATATGATTTATAAAAAGAATTAATAGCGAAAATGTTAAAAAAATTGATATTTTTGTGAAAGTATTAGCAAGTTTAAGTGCATCTAAGGTTTGTGAGGCGTTTACTTTTACTTGAGAATTGTCAAAATCGGCAAATCCCAATTAGCTGTTTCTGGAACGTGCCACATTTGTTCGCTTCTTCCTGATGTGATAAAAAGAAAAGCCGGCAGCACTCCGCAAGGTCTCAGAAATCTCTTAAAATATGTTCGAAAAATATCTTAGTATGGAAGGAACTGCTTTACACTGTCAAGGAAAAAAAAATGCCAAAACTCAACGCACTTAACACCCAATCTTGCACTTTATTATACTAAAACAAATTTTTCTAGAGTCTACCACATTTTTTCCCAGATTCTACCACACAGCATTTTTTTTAAGTCCGATCACTGCCACCAAAATACTTTGGAAGATCTACGTGACCTGGACCGATTTGAAAATACCTCCCAAAATGGAGTTTTTTATGAATAAAATAGTTTCTTAAAGATTTTTTTGAAACAAATCCCGTCAAATGACAAAACGGTTTAAGCTTAAAAAACTTGCATAAAAATATTTTTAAAAAATTTAAAAAAATTGTTACGGAAACGCAATAATGAGATTTTTGATGCTGTTTTTCTTTTTTACTTTTTTCAAAGTTTGGTATAAGAAAAACTTGAATAACTGAACTTAAGCTATTCCAGTTTAGACTTGTGAGGTATCATTGGAAAGGTTCTGTTTTGTCATCTAAGCGGATTTTTTTTTTTCAAAAAGAAACTATTTTTATTCATAAAAAACTCCATTTTTCGGATTCTTTTCGGGACCATTCAGGATATTTTGAGATATTTCGAGATTTTTGGCGCTTTTTCGGGAGACCAGTCTTCCCGGATTCAGCGACATTATTCATGATTTAATTTTTGGGATTTTTTAGGGATATGTTGGACTTTAAAAGACATTTACTGAATTTGCTCTTGATTTGTTCATGGTTTTCGTTATTCGTCGTGTTTTATTTTTCGAGATTCTTTAAGATTTTTTAGGTTTTTTTTCGGTAGCATTCAAATTTTTTGGGAATTTTTCGTGTTTTTTATGGAATTTTGGGGTTTCCGATGTTTTTTTCTTTTGTTTTTGGGACTTTTTTTAAAGACTTTTTCGGGTTATTCGCCGTGTCTTATTTTCCGCGACTCTTCAAGATTTTGGGGAATATTTTGTGTTTTATTTACTTTTCGGGATTCTCTATTCTTTCTTTTTTGGGATATTTTAGTGATTTTTCGGAAGTTTTAATAGTTTTCCGTGAAAATTAAAGATTATCTGAAACCTTTGGATTTTTTTGGAACCTTTTAGAGAATTTTCGATATATTCTTGATTTTTTTTCGAGACTTCTCGGAATTCTCCGGGTTTTACGTTTTATTTTTCTGCTTTTTTTAGAGACTTCGGTATTTTTAAGGATTTTTTTGGGACCTTACAGGAGCATCTCGAGACTGTTCAGGTTTTTTTTGACACTTTTCCTGATTTATTTGAGCCTTTCTGGAGTTTTCTTGAACGTTTTTCGGTACTCTGCGGGATTCTTCGTGTTTTACATATTGAGTTTCGAGATTTTTTCGGAGTTTCCCAAATGCTCCCATAAAAAAGTCAGACAAACTTTGACTTTTGGTCTCTATAAAAACGATTTCGACCAAGGCGAATTTATATAAGCTGCTAGCGGTAGTAAAAAAAATACATGTATTTCGTTTTTGCTGTTGGTCCAAAAATGTTAAATTTCATCTATTCTTCGCGCAAGGTAGAAGAGGGTAAGAAAACTCCAACACTTCCACTTTCTCACCCACTCTAAAAAGTTAAAAACTTGGCGGCACTGCATAGTTTCGTTTCGTTTCGTTATTTCAGCACGACAGTAGACAATGCCAATGTTGTCGAGTCGTACAATTTAGCCTAATTTACGACTTACGCAATGTGGCTGATTATTTTATAAATTTTTCTCAATATAACAATGTAGTTTTTCAACAAAATCCCCATTTAACAGAATACATTTATCCCAACGATAAAGTAATTATTTTAAGCCGTCCTCAAAGAACTTTTTTAGTGTCTCCTCAATCCACCTATTTATGGCACGTTTTATGTCAGTTAAACTTTCAAATCGAAACCCCTTATGGGATTTTTC